ATACCCCTATATAACAGCACCATTACACACCTACGTAAAACATATACCCCTATATAACAGCACCATTAAACACCTACATAAAACATATAACATTACTACTATACAACTACATAAAACATATACCTGTATTTAACAATACAACTGCATGAAATATATATCCCCTTATAACAGAACAACTTCGTGATAGGTATACCTTTACACCTTAACACTTTCATGAAATATATATTCTCAACTAATGTCAATCATTCCTAAACCATATACTCTCAAGTCATGCCTGGGAGAACCACGGCCCGTCCACTCAATCAAAGTCTACTTAATGTTTCCCACATCCGAATACGTCATGCGTAGCGCTATTTTTTTAGCTCCCTGAAACTTGCCTCTAAGGGTTTGTACACCTCCTGCCCGTCCATTATAAACCCAGGCATACCCAGACTTTCGTACTTGGCTACACCACTACCTCAGATGATAACGCCATATAGAAAATATGAAACCTAAGCTAATAACACGTTCTTCATAAAAACTGTACCTCACTATAACAACTTAAATTAAACTTATTCCACCAGCTTCAAATTCATTGGTTAGTTGCATAGATATATAGAATTTATACAGCTGTTATGAATAAACTTTGAAATAATGTATACCTTTGGTCGATAAAACACTTCCATAAGAAGTTACTTTCCTGACAATCAAAACATTCTAATTAAACTTATCAGCTTGTAACACACTTTTATAAGATATGCACATACTACTTGACTGCATAGGGTTAACCGGAAATATCAACTTACACCTTCGTTAACTCCCTAGTTTCAATAAAATTGCCTCCCATGGCTACTACAACACTTTCGTTAGGCCTAACACTAGCTGCTAAAAAAATACTTTCATTTTAAAAGTAAATTTATCACTGACAAATAACATGCGCTCATAAAACTTGTACTCTGGTGATATCGCTGTTAATAATATATTTCCACAGAGCTTATTTCTCAACTAATAAAACATTTTCATAAAATTATGTTAAGTGATAGTGGTTATTCGAAATGATATTTCAGGTCTTGTGTCTTTGGTTTTGTGGTAAAGCTCTGGAGTTCGGAGCTGGTGAACCAGGTTTTCGTCAGTGCGATACCACAACATATTTTCCGCAATTTAAGCTGTGGATGCGTTATAAGTGTGACATTCAATCTATTTTTTTTAGTCCCATAAGTACTATTTTCGTACAAATACAAATATCTGTCTCTATCGTCAATCGTGCTCAGCATGATGGTCATGGTTACCCACTACTGCGCGATACTGCAGTTTCTATTGTAATAAGCTTCCGACAAGGATGGCGAGTTCAATCTTATATTACATATCGGAAAAATTTCTAATGACCTTCCATTGGATACGGGTGTCACCTTCCAATAGCGTGTATAGGTCCATTGGAGATGAGAGACTTAAAAGTTAAAACGAATACAATTACTGTAATTTCAGTTTCCTTAAGAAAACAGCCGTTAGATTTGAGATGTGGCTGGAAGATTGTGAACCTTTTGTTTGTGAGACTTTATCAACTTCAGTCCTTTTGAAGCTGATATATCTGTTGTGTCGTTAAACCTGTTGGTGTCGTTAAACAATGACTGAAGTTGAAACTATATATCCAGTTTCAACTTCAGTCCTTGTTTAACGACACCAACAGATATATCCCTGTTGGTGTCGTTAAACAAGGACTGAAGTTGAAACTGGATATATCTGTTGGTGTCGTTAAACAATGACTGAAGTTGAAACTCCAACAGATATATCCAGCTTCATCGCAACTGCAGACAAGAGTGTTGTTTTGAATTGGCTTCATGTCTGGTTTTGGAAATTGTTGCTGTCCAAAATACTTTGCAGTGCGACGTTTTCTTTCCGCTTCCAAAGTAAATTTCTCTGAAATGTTGCATATCTTGGTTCGACATCGTTTAACAGTTTTCCTATAAAAATGTCCTGCCTCGAAAAGGACTGTTATATTTTTCGATCCATATAAATCTTTGCTGAATGTTTGGAAATTCATCATGAACTAAATATGTATGTCACCCGTGGCGCACGACTCTTATCTGTAGCAATATGCTACCATATTAACACAGATAAATTGTTAGTATAAATTGGGATCAATCTTATATATATATAAGTACCTTTTATGTCTTCTATCAACCTGTTATAGATTTACTGTATTTTGGAACTTTTAACTCGATCAAAAATCTGGTAATAATTTTCTTTTGGGGGAGGAGGTTTAAAATGATAACCAATACACAGATTGAAGAAAAGTTACTTAAAAATTATATATACAACAAGGAGAAAAAAATGTATAGGTACGTTTTGTATTTGGTTGATTTTAGAAACGGCTTTTATATAACTTTACAACAAGTAATGTACCAAGTCTAAACGTAACGTTGCTCGAAGTTTGGGTGATTATTTGATGATTCAGACACTGTTCACACTGTGGCGCTGATGGACAGTTGCAACTACTCTATTCATTTGAAGAGGTAATAAATGTTTAATGTATATTTTACTGTGCGCATATTATCAAATAATAATTTAAAGTAATCTTCAAAAACAGGTTTAACAAATATTAGAGTTTTCAAAAATAGTTTTGTCTTTTAATTTTTCTATCTTGTTTCAGCTAATGCTTCTAATCATTACATACATCGATGTTCGTCTAACATTAGGTTAAACTGTGCGTCGCCATTGGTTATGGGAAGTAACATTAATAATGTTATAACGTAGAATTTTAACCTTGTACACAATTAATGATACAAAAACAGAAAACTTACAACCTGTCTAACAAATCTCTTTCACAAACTCGTATTATATCACAAACTTACAACCTGTCTAACAAATCTCTTTCACAAGCTCGTATTATATAACAAACTTACAACCTGTCTAACAAATCTCTTTCACAAACTCGTATTATATCACAAACTTACAACCTGTCTAACAAATATCTTTCACAAACTCGTATTATATCACAAACTTACAACCTGTCTAACAAATATCTTTCACAAACTCGTATTATATCACAAACTTACAACCTGTCTAACAAATATCTTTCACAAACTCGTATTATATCACCGACTAATACAAGGGTTTTCTTGTCCTGTGCTAATGACTCATTTTCAAAATCGTACAGTTGCATTAATCTTGTATCCACGGCTAATAGCCTACATCTTTTAAACTTATGATACAAGCTTGTAACAAACTTTTCAAAACGTGTACCGTTACTTAATAATACGTGTATATGTAACTTACATCATCCTCTAACTTACACATATTGTTAAAAACGTTAGAATACCGACTAAATTACACAATTTCAAAAAAGTTTAATCCTCGCTAATATAATATAATAAAACTCATCCTCTTTCTCGACTAATTACACAATAAAAGCTAACATTTTAGTAAAAATCACAAATTAAAAGAACAGCGTGTTTCAAAAGTATAAGTACAAGTCCAGGTATAATATACTGATCAAAATTATAAGTACAAGTCCAGGTATAATATACTGATCAAAAGTATAAGTACAAGTCCAGGTATAATATACTGATCAAAAGTATAAGTACAAGTTCAGGTATAATATACTGATCAAAAGTATAAGTACAAGTTCAGGTATAATATACTGATCAAAAGTATAAGTACAAGTCCAGGTATAATATACTGATAAGTAAAGCTCACCCATCCATCCGGATTCTCCTTTTCTTTGGTATTGTGTCACCTTGCTTATAGCAGTTAGTAAACCTTGACCACTGTCCATCAACTTATTCACTAAAGTCCTGTGGTCAACCCCTCCTTCTAAGTTAAAAGGAACATTTACGCCTTCTTCCCCATATTCCTCCTACAAAAGAAATTTTCCTTAGAAACATCTATCTATTTAAATATCACATCTTGAAGCATCATTGGGTAATTATGGACAAAACAAAATCACTAGCAATCTCTAACGAGCCTAATGTAAACATATTCACAAAAGTCTTAATTATGATATATGTATATATATGTTTATTTTTACAGTAACCAAAACATGAACTGCTACGCAACAATATAGTTAAAAAGGTCCTTAATTTTTCATTCTAATGTTTCATAATTCATTTTTAACTTTTGCGTTAACAGTGAGGTTTAAATATTTATGAAATGCTCCCGTTCCACAAAATTATTAATTGTATTATTTCGTATTGCAATTACTTTAATAATATTTGATAATCAATACAAATTATTAGGGATCTGGATGACTCTTTCTGATATTCTTTTCACAAAAGATTTCATATTACAGAGAAAAACAACAACACATTTTATCGCAGTAATTCAACTAAACGAATATCTTTGCTGTGTTATTTTTTACCAGTTCCTTAAAGAAAATGATCTGTTGAATATAATTCTGTAGATTATCACTGATAACATTAGCACAGAGTTGATGCAAGGAATTGTGGAGTCCATTTTCGAAGCCAGGAGAGTCAATTACTGTCACAGAATAAACGTCACCACTAAAAAAGGATGTTTGAAAAAAGGGTTAGTAAAACGAAATATGACGTAAAACATATTCCACTATCAGCAAACAAATTATTGATTAAAATACACACAAGCAATTCATCTAAATTTTTTTCAGCTTTCTAACAAACATATAGTAGTAAATAAAGCTATCTCGGAAAATATTGCCAATATGATGTAGGTGATGAATTTTTCTTGTTTGTTTTTCATTAATATAAAATTCCGTAAATTTATTCTAGACACGCATAATGAAATCACAGTTTTGACTTTAACATCAGATTGTCAATTAAGAAATTTCTTATTTGACTTTAGGTATTTTTCATAGTTATATGCCAAATATGAAAATTAAGTAGTAATACTTCGTTTTGTTCACTAACAAGCGCTTCCATAATCGGACGATTTCCTAATTTTCCGTATTTTTGTGTTAAACATCATAAATTATACATAATACAAAATACATATATAACAGGAGATACAGTTAAGTAATCTTTTTTTTTACATCAAAAGAGGGGGAGCACTGTTAAACGCAATCAAACCAAACCTTTGAAAATAAACAAATACTAGTTTAAGGAACAAAGTATTTCTTCATAGAAAACAGAAATTGCACAAGATAATGTAGACAGATATGTAGATCCAACTTCCGCAGACCTTTCACAATGAGGTATAAATTATCTAGATAATGTAGATAGATATGTAGATCCAACTTCCAGCAGACCATTCACAATAAGGTATAAATTATATAGATAATGTAGATAGATATGTGGATCCAACTTCCGCAGACCCTTCACAATGAGGTATAAATTATATAGATAATGTAGACAGATATGTAGATCCAAGTTCCGCAGACCCTTCACAATGAGGTATAAATTATATATTTCCCCACCATTTTAAATTGTGTCTTTCTGTTATTTGTTATTCTGTAACCGCGATTTTTATTTTATTTTTTACGGAGAATGTCTTTGTTCCTTACATAAGTTTATTTGAATAAATACAGCTTTTAACATGAACACCAAACTTGTATTTTCCGATGATTGAGTAATTGTAAGTTTCTCAATTTCCTTTTAATCATCTACATTATCACTACTTCGTAGAGTTTTTGTTTACTTACAACACAAGGCGCGAGAATGATAACTGTCTGTTCACCACTGCAACAATCCAAGAAAACAAACGGAGATACATAGCTCGAGCGTAGACATCTCGTGCATTGACGTCTTGAGTTAAAGTGTTCTCTAGTTCGCTTGATTCTGCACCCAAAAGTTTAAATGCTAAGTTTAAAAAAAAAAAGGATCTTGATGTATGACTTTAATATTATGAATTTCTCGTGACAACAAAGGTGAAAAAAGGCTTAAGCTCTAAAACGAAACTTTTATTGACACTTTTATTTTTGAGTAAATAAGGAACTTTCATCAAAATTAGTCTTTGTTCTTTACACAATTAACATACAAAAACAACCAATATTAACAAAGTTAAGATCAAACAGTGAACAATAATTGATTCTACTGACATCTATGCTCTAGCTCGTGAATATAACGTAAGAAAAAGCAGTTAATATCAGTCGAGTTTCCTCAACTCCTACCTGGCCACCAGTGGCTCAGCGTTATGTTGGAGGGCTTATAACGCTAAATATCTGATTTTGATACCCGCGATTGGCATAACTATCCTATTATGTAGTTTTGTGCTTGTCAATAATGAAACAATAAATTCTTACCTGCACAACCCAAGCATGGCTCACTGGTTAGTATGCCAGACTATATATTTTAGCTTTCGTGGTTCGCGCCTAGTTACCACTCTAAAAATAAACCACTCTCCATACTTTGGAACTAGGAGTGTTTTGTAAGAGTGACAGTCAAATCCAATTCTTCCATTGGAGTAACCCAAGAATTGGCAGTGGGTGCCTTCCCTGTAGTCTATCATTTTTATATCAAGCACGACTACCGCAGAAAACCTTCAAGTAGCTTTGCTCGAAATTCAGCCACAACAACAAATTAATAAAATTAACTCACCTGCACTGTTTTGAATCTCTGTTTCTCCTAGTAACAAAATGGCTGCTAATACCTTCTGAATGGCGAAAATTTCCTGTTAATACACTTGGATAATTAGATATCAGCGAAACTATACAAGTTACAATGAGTTAAAATATTTCTATTTTACAATAATTGTTCATAGAGCCAGTTAGAGTACTATTTCTAAAAAAAATGGCTTTTACTAAACATATTCGCACTTTTGTAAATACACAATTCCATTGTCCAAATTAATCTATTCTAAAATAGTTTCTCAAAGACTTCATAAATCTTAAGATATTCAGGATGTGTCAATAATTTCAGTCGTGGATATAATGAAATACAGATAATAATATCCGTTTTTATACAATCCTCAGTGGCTCAGCGGTACGTCTGAGGCTTATAATGCTAAAAATCGGGTTTAGATACCCGTGGTGAGAAGAGAACAGATAAACCCATTTTATAGCTTTGTGCTAACAATAACACAAATTGATCTAATTTCATATTCCATGCTAGTATTTTTAATTGTTTAGTTAACAACTTTTTAAATTTGCGATTGGTATTTTCTCATTTTTAGAATTAGTTTCATACCGAATTGATGAATTTAATAATTCTTTAGACACCCTTAAAGACATTCAATATTTTTTTTACATTAACTTCTTATAATATTTAATTTTTTTTGTTAAAACATATATTCCATGCGAAGGTTACGATTTGTTATTATTGACATAATCTACAATATTAGTGACTAATAATACAGATCTAGTTAGGCCTACCTCTTCTGTAAAAGCCAAAGAAGTTAATGCTCTCAAGAACTGTTGATATCCTTTAACATACTCTGAGGAGTTGGAAGATTTTAACTCCGGTAGGTAACGGTAGTTCTTTTCTTCTAGTCCAAATTCTTTTAGTCTTCCCTCGGATCGTAGTCCCTCATAAAAGTAGTAAAACACATGAAAATTTCTTTCACCCCTGCAAAAAAGAAAAGGCATAATATTTTCATTATGCGCATATAGTAAAAAAAAAGCAATGACCAAGCAAGTAACGTTACATCACCCATATAATTGTAACTATTTTGGTGGATGAGTATGAAATTTACCTGATATTCCGTTAACCGTGACAGAGCTCGATGTGTGATTTTTGAATTCAAAATAAAATGATAAATTTATGCAAAGGCTAGTCTTTACTCACTTTGGAATGTCCGTAAGTCGCCTTGCTTCCAGTAAAAATGTAAAAAGGATGGCTGCAAAAGATGTATATTTGTTTTATTCTCTTGATGCTATAAGTACTAAAGTTAAATAACTACAATATACAACACAATACTAAAGCAGTGGCATTAACATAAGACTTTCGTTTTAGGCCTAATAAAATGAATGAGAACTTTAGTAGAATAAAAACATTAAAAACTCTTTCTTGTTGTCAAATTATCTGATAAGATGGTTTCCTTCATAAGAAATAAAGTAAATATCAATAACTGTAGTGTAAAAAAAGAGAGATATGTGTTTAAAAGGGTGAAATTTATTCTTGTAACAAAAAGTGATATACTTGCTCTTTTTCTATACTTTTCTCTTGTTTTTGTGGCAATAAAGGAACTTAATATCTAACTATATAACTTTTCAGTTACCTTACTTAACTAACTTATACTAGTTTTGCCACAGATGTGCACCGGTATTGTTAAATTGCATGTATTTGTCACTACATACACATACATACACGCACTCATAGAAGTATGTATATATATATATATATGTGTGTGTGTGTGAATATATTTGTTAATTGTTTATTAGATTTTGGAATTATTAAAAATTCTAATATCTCATGGTCCCCCAGTTTAATGCATCACTTATATAATTAGTGCATGTGTAGAGTATTAGGAAGTACTATAAACGTATCACAAATATAAAAGATGTGTCACGAGAACGCTTAAGATGTATTGCCTAATCGCTGCACTGTAGTATCTTGAGATATAATCTATACTCACTGTAGTAGTAACGTACTGAGGATAATCGCATTTCATAGTCAAGATGTTTTGTTACCTCCTTGCTTTTGTAACTATTTTCTCCTTTGTCGAACGCGCATAATCTGGTTGCCACGAATGCGCGCTAGTTGTGCGACAATACAATTTCCGCTATGACAAGTTTCTCTGAAAGCTGATGAAATAACTCTTAGATCGTAGCTCTTAAAAAAACCTTTAATCAAACTCTACGTGGACATCAGCTTCCTACATAAAATTAGTGATTATTATGTCGTCATATACTGAGTATGTTGTGGTAGGAAGATGTTTGTCCCATAACAATCCTTGAGAAGTTTCATCTGAACATAATAACTTCTAAGGTGTTGATGATGTTCCTTTGGTGCGTTATTTACATAAATTATCTCAAATTTGATAAATGTACATATTTCTACAACCTTCGAAAACGTTTTCAGCAAAATATCTGCTATCGTAATGGATAAAATAATTTAAAAAAATTTATTTGACGATTTAAATCATCTTTGGAGTCTAACAACATGAACTGTGGAATTTGTTTCGAAAATAGTGCGTAATAGAAAAACAACATTTAACAGGTCGTTTTTAATTTATATTATATACCAACAAACAAAATCTTTGTCCTATATGTTAATAAAGACGCACTTTTTGCTGAAGTAAGCTATACTTTTACGGAACTCTAAGCTAGTGTTTCCCAAACTAAAATATTTAACACTTTTTGTACGATCATAACTTATTATGAAATATTTAACTATGTATTAGAATTAGATAATATCAATTTCACATTGAAGAAGAATTATATAAGATGCCATATCTATTCTACATAATATCTTAGTGGAGAGGTTTGTACCTAAAATATATTATAAGCATAAAAATGTAAAAATTAATTAATACGTAATTTGATTAAACACATAAAGGAATAATATACAAATCTAGAGGGTGCTGCGCGCGCAACATACCCTATACGCCGATATTTCACGTGTCTAGTGTTCCGTAAGCTTATTCTCAGCTGAAAAGTATTCCGTAGCCAAAAAAGTTTTGGAAACGCTGCTCCAAGCAAATATTTAGTATTTTAATATAAGCAAAGCATATTTTGTTCTACAAAAATAACTTTCCACCAGTGTTGCATGCCATTTACTGAGACAATTTGTTTAGCATTTAACAACTAAATTAACCCAAAAATAAACGTAAAAAAATTTTTGTAATGTATTCCGTCGTAAAATATGCCACTTCGTAGCTGTACTGTGTATTGTTGTATATTGCTGAAGAAACCTCAAGTGTATATTTACAAAAAACAAATGAGTAAATGAAACGTCTCTTACCTCCAGTTATTTTGCCAGTTTTAGTAAATGTAATTTCTAAAATTTTCACAAAATGACTGCTATTCGGATTAGTAGAAGTATATGCGTTTCCCAAAGTGTCCAGCAGAGGGCACAAATACTCAAACTTTTCTCTCATTCCTTCCTTGTTTTGCTGAAACAAAAAAGTATCGCACAGAGAATGAGACACTAGTCTACATACAGTTTTTCACTAAAATACACTTGATAAGTTAGTTAATTTGTCATTACAATATTGTTTTTAGTTTATACCATTCTAGGGAGTGTTTAGTGAAACATTCCTCCAGCAGGGAAAGATAAAACTGTTGAGGTTAATGTAGCTAAATGTATGACTTCGGATGGCGGTTGCGAGAGGTAATATATATATAGTGAAACTTTACAGATACTTCACTATTTGCATTTCAAAATTATAGACTTTTATTTTTCTTCCTCGCTAGAAGATGATCAATCTTTATTCCAAGGAATCAACATCTATCAAGTAATGATAAACTGATCACTGGTATGAACTATGATTCCACGATTTAACAAAGGGAAGACTTTTATAAAGTCAGTTTTGGAGCTATTTGCGTCGGTTCATTTACTATAAACTCATCTAACAGAGATCGGTGTTTGGTAGATGTTGTTGTTGTTGTTTGTTATTAAGCACAAAGCTACACGAAAGACTATCTGTGCTCTGCCCAACACGGGTATCGAAACCCGGTTACTAGCAGTATAAATCCGCAGACATACCGCTATGCCACTGGGGGGCGGTTCGGTCAGATA